GAGAGTTGGTGTCCGAGAGGATCGAAGTCACGATAGCTCAAGTGGTAGAGCAGCGGCGTATTTAGCCGAAGGTCGTGAGTTCGAATCCCGCTCGTGACACTGACTTTTTTATCTCAACCAAGACCTTACAAAAAAAGAATAATTAATTGAAATAAGTAACTTAGTCAATTGACCACTAAAACGTAAATGGTTCTTCTCTTTCTTGAAAGATGTCAAGTCAGTTGAACTGAACTAAAGGACTAAACACAATAAGGAAAAAGACTACAGTGCTTAGGAAATACCAAATCTCATCATATTGGCCTGTATTGGATCGTAATTTTAAGGTTAAATAAACTTATTGATATCTGATTTGTAACTGTGAAAGTTCGTAAAACTACCCAGTGACTTCCCAAAAATATTCGTTAAAAGGTTTTGGTGTTTTTCCTAAACAATGTCAGTAGTCTGATAAGACGTTTCTTTCTCACACAGTAGAAATTGGGTTTTCTTCTTAATTTTTAACTCATCTATAATGGCCATCTGATTTTTATATATAGGTTTTTTTACACATGTTAAAAGTTATGTTTTGTTTGTAAAAACGAAGATATGTTAAACATATTCTTTTTAATTTTAGCATCGGATATCGTGGCATTGACCCAGGTTTCATCCCAGTTTCTACCAACGAAAAGTTTAGAAGAATATCCCATGTATACAGACTTTATGACAAATATTTATGAAGTTCGGAAACCCGTGTGCACCGGTACTCTAATAACACTTAAGTTAGTCCTCACTTTTTGCCGCAAATCGTCAACTATGTACAATTGGAAGCTGGTGTTAGGTCTGTACAGCTACCCATTTAGCCAGAAAAGGAATGTGAAGTCGATCTCATTGCACATATTAAATGACGACATCGTAGATGTAATCGAAGCGGACTTCCCGTTCCAAAGAGACGACCCTCTTCCGGTAAAAGTCGCGAGTCTTAATAAGATAGATTTTCAAAATTCCTGGGCTCAATTCGTCTTAAATATCACGCAATGTTCTATGATTAACCTTACAAAAAATCGCTACAGCCACGATTTCTTCTTCGAGTCGATCCAAGTTTTCAAATATTTGGGTTTCTGCCCTCAGCAAGCTTCACTCTCTACCCGGAACCTTGTATGTGTATCGTTTATAAATTCTGATGCTTGTAAACATTGCGTTCGGGGTGCGCCGCTTTTCTGCTCAGATTTCCTTTTCGCCACTCTTTCGGAAATTTACGAGGCAAAAAATTATTATTTTTTCTGGCTTATAGACAATAATTTAGATTTGTTCGATTACGATTATGACATTAGATTGGGTGAATCGGTAGATAAACTAAAAAGCAAAAGCGCCCGGATTGGAATTCAACCTCTAAGTCTTTTAACCGCCCAGATTTTTTTAATAATCAAATATACAATTTCAGAATAAAATGCTGTCGTTCTTCTTTCTTACTGTACTCTGTTCAATGCCTATTAAATATGATGTAGCATAGGCCATCGTTTATGGACAATGATCAGTCTCTATGTAATCAGAGGTTGAAACCAATTTTTTGGTCCCTAACACTTTGGTCATTAACAAGCCTTGTCAAATTTCATGTCAGAAACCTTTCATCCGGATCTTCTTTAACAATTGAAGCGTCACTGGCTTCGCCAAGTCCTAAGTGACATTTTTTAACTTTCGTTTTTGTAATAAGAACGCAAGTAATATTTTTCTAAAATTCTATATTTCGTAGCCACAAATTTAGGGCTGTTAGGAAAAGTAGAAGTTTTATTCCAAAACGTGCGCCTTCACTTTTCGTATCCTCTACAGAATCTCCCAAACTAATCATATAATCGTAATCGAACAAATCTAACTTGTCGTCAATAATCCAGAAGGTATACCGACTTTTTTGCCCATGGAGTCCGTTCAGTACGGCAAATAAATATTTGTTACAGAAAAGCGGTGCACCCATCAGACTCTGTTCATAAGGAAATGGGTCTGGGAACGATAAACAAACTTGACTATAGTTGTATAAATAAGTGCAGTGTTCTATATATGAGATAGCACGGGAACAATTGAAGAAAAATTTCCCGGTATGCAGATTTCGTTTCAGGTAAATTAAATAACACTGCGAAATGTTTGATACGGTTTGAGTCCAGGAATGCCGAAAATCCAGTAGTTTAAGACTCACGATTTTCACAGGCAGCGGGTCAGTTGTGTGGAACGGGTCCGCAGCTTCGATGCTTTCCACAATGTCAAAATCGAACGTGTGCCTTGTGAACCCCTTCAGGCCCCTTATTTGACTATAAGGGTTGCCGTACACACCTAACACCAGTTTCCATGTTGTCCATTTTGTCCATTTTGTCGGTAAACGGCAGTAAGTGAGAACTAACTTGGATCTTATTAGCGTTCCGGTGCACTCGGGGTTCGAGTGATTGTAAACGACTATCATAAACTCCGAGTACACAGTAAAATCATCCGTTATTGGCCATGTTGAAACCAATTCATTTGCCAAAGTCACGATCTCCGATGATAAAATTAACAAAATAGCTTTTAACATCTCTACAATTTTGCTAAAAGAGCAAAAAAATTAAATTTAATAACACACACCCAAAAAAACATATGTAGGTATGAAAATCTAAGATGTAACATGCTCAATGATGGTACAACTTGATCCCCCTGTCCTAACTTTCATGGAAAATGAAATCTATAATGTCAGACTGCACGTGAGTGTTCGTGGATTTTCAGAACAGAAAGCATAACTAAAAAAGAAATTCTTCCTTTCGATGTAGCTACATATATCTTATTACTATTTACAATGCATGATAAAAAAGCGTATTTTCAGTTTGGCTACATTCACAAGGTAATCGCAGTTGCCAAATGGTTACCAGGATTCTAGGCTTGTAGACCCTGCGTTCGTGGGTTCGATTCCCACCCTCGCCTCTGGAATTGTCTTTTCCTCCTTCTGGAATTGTTTCGTCAATTTTCAATAACTATACCAGCTACCACTCCAGGTACCAGCTACCAACTCACCACACAGCTACCACAATGAGTACGACCTTTACCAGTTCCTTTCATATGCGTATTTATATTAACCCCCGGGGTCCCGGCTTAAAAAAAGCCCATTTGAATGTTGGGTTCCAATTCAGGACCGCGTGCTTCACCCATGCCCCAAATAAATTAAAAAATCAGACAATTTTTTTTACTGCTTAGCAGTTTTTCTAGATGTTACAGAAGCATTTGACATAGTGTGGCACTACGGTCTATTCTTCCCCATATTTACTATCTCATCCTGAAGTCCTTTCTCTCGGATCGCTGGTTAAGGTGGGAATTGGCTCTGCATTTGCAGACATCAAGCCCATCAAGTTCGGCGTTCCCCAAGGGAGTGTCCTAAGACCAATCCTATGCACAGTTTATACCGCTGACATACCATGTAACCTAACATGAAAAGAGCCGGCACGTGATGTTCACACTTAGAACAAGTACCTGTCACATATACAGTAACGTCCTCTATCAATCAAATCCGCTACCTCGGATTCTACTTCGTTCTACCGACAGCAGACTTACATAGATCACATACATAAGACAAGAAATGAAACGAAGATACATACGGTCAACTCAGACGCTTGTCTGGACCCAAACCCACAATGAATACAGACAACAAACTAACCACGTACAAGACACTATTACAAATTAGACCGGTTTGGACTTACACATGCTGTGGGGTTCAGCCATGCCAAATTACATCCAAAAAATCCAAACCTTTCAATCAAAATCCTCCGTCACATCCTCAACGCTCCCTTCTACGTCACTAGCGAAACCGTCCACAAAGACCTAGATATCCCATTCGTGACGAACACGATTCCAGAGCTTCCACTCCAAGATCCTTTTACACTATCCAAATCCACTAAGTCAAGGCCATCTTCAATGTCCAACCCTCCACACCTCCAAAAAGACAGGGGCTACGTGACCTCCTAACTCAACCCTAACCATCAACCAACAATCCTAAACAAGGAGAATTCCAGCAATGGCCGGCTCTTTTCCCTCATCCCCTTCCCCGCGGTCTTAAGAGCTCCTGTCAGACCTTTTCATGATCGCTACGAACAATATATATATATATATATGTGTGTGTGTGTGTGTGTGTGTGTGTGTGTGTGTGTGTGTGTGTGTGTGTGTGTGTGTGTATGTCACGTTTCGATTTGAATGTACCGCCATGCCCCTCCACAAACATCTGACAGTGAGAGTAGGGGCTAGGAAAGGGCTATTTTTTTCAGTCAAAAAAACAATTCCCTTTCTGTCCTCCGTGGGTTAAGAGCTGGTTATTTGTAATTAAGAAAATTTGGTGTGCACACAATTCAAGTGAGTAAATTTTATATTTTGACGTCAAAAAACTAAAAATAATATTGTAGTTTAATTTAAAAAAGGGTTGTAACAAAAAATATATTTTTATAAAGAAAACTATAAGAGATAACATTTGATTTTAAAAGTTATGTTAAAATATTAATTGTGTTTTCTAATTGGTGGTCAAAAATTAATAATAATAACAATAATAATAATTACCTTTACTTTTACTTTTCTTTATAAAACGAGAATTAACGTCGATTTTAAAATTAATGCTTGTAGATTCTGAAATAGGTTTTATTATAGAATAAAAGATTCTTTAAATTAAAAATAATAATAAATAAAAGAAATTGTAATCTTTTTTTAAAATAAATTGTAATAAAAGATTTAAATTTAATTAATATTTTGGTCTCGTATTTATTTTGGTTTGAATTGAATATTGGAATTTTGTATATCAAAAAAAGGTGCCTGATCATTAAATTAAATTAATGTAGTCAGGCCCGATGATAAGAAAACCTCTGGGACCTTGTTTTCGGTTCTCCGAATTCAGGGTTGGGCCCAAAACAGAAGAGACACGCTTACATATTATATATATATATATATATATATATAATACAAAAAAGTTAACTGTTTTTTGTTCTAATCGAAGAACTTCATTCACATGCCTAGAAAATAAAACAGCAGAATAACATGACCAATTTGTTGATCAATTTTATACTTTTTACTATTTATGCAATTTTATTATTTATCACCTGACCTAAAAACAACGTCTAGATGTTTAAAAAAATCATTCAATCATTGTAGACTCTGACGTTTTATCTTTGACAAAATTGAACTACATTACTAAGTGTTTGGAATTTATGATATTTGTTTATAACAATCAGAAGAGATCCGAGTGCACCGGAACGCTAATAACAACCAATTTCGTCCTAACTTACTAAAAAAAAAGGCGGTTTGGTCGAACATGATGCCAAGTGTAATAAGCCAGAAAACGGATCGGACATCTTCACAATTGTCCTCGTGGGCAAAATCGAAGCAAACTACACTCACTGCCACTAAAAGCCGTAAGTTTAACAATATGAGTTTTTATAATAATTCGTTTCAAATTAAACACATTTTTTATTGAAATTAAATTTCTAGATTACATGTATCATTTCACATTTACATATACTTTTAAAATACATACATGTTGTCTGTATGTGGAGACATGTATTATTAATGTGCAATATTTTTATATTTAAATAAAGCAATTCCTGTCTAACTAGAAGTTTGGGACGAACTAGCTTGGCTACTTTTGTATTTATTTTCATTATTTATTTCTAAAAATTCACAAAAATAAAATACTTGTTGTTTTATCAGTATGTTATTACTAATTATTTCTTTGTTCCATTTTACGTGTTCCCTTTATTTTTGATTATCTATAATTCATTTTTTCATTATTCTCTTTATCTGAAACTTTAGAAGTTAAGACGTTTCCTATCGGACTAGAAATGAGAAAAAATTGTTATTTATTAGCATTTATTTAAATACTCTCAAAGACAAAAAGAACCGGACATTTGTATTTATTTGTTTATTTTCATTATAAGTAGGTATAAAGATTAATAGTTGACATAAACAGCATTAATTACTTATTGCTTACATTTATAGAGTGTCACTAATCATTTTACACTCTTTAGATTAAAAATAAAGAAAATCAGTTCTGTTTCATACTTTCCAGAGCCAACTTGTCGAATTAATTTGTTTTTTAAAATGTTTTCAATAATGCATGAAAAATCTGTTTAATGCATGAAAATGTTTAAAATTTATTTTTATTATTCGGAGATAATAAGATGCGGTCTAGTGAGACGTAGGTTTTAGAAAGCATTTTCTTTACCGTGCGTGTTTCGAGCTTTATTGAGATCATCTTCAGGGCTCAAAGTGTTTGTTTTCCGTGAGATGTGTCATTCTTGTCTGTCGTGTGGAGAGTGCCACTCAAGAATGGCACATCTACACGGAAAACAAACACTTTGAGACCTGAAGATGATCTCAATAAAGATCGAAACGCATAAAGAAAATGTTTTTCTAAAACCTACATCACACCAGACCACTTCTCACGATCTCCGAATATTCATTGACTAACGGTCACTAAACACCACATATTTATTTTTATTTTTCCTTCCTAGGTAAAACTTCCTGACTGTTATGATCTTATCATTAAGAGCATTTCATTTTCCAGTTATTACTTCCTTTAAAATTTTGATATATTATTTTTAAATCCGAAAATATGCACACAAAAAGGTGGTTTGTTTATCAGAATATATATATAATTTAATAGTCAAAAGGTTTATATTTGGTTATCACAAAATAAGCTATCAGGATAAGAAGAACTGTTGTTTCAAATTGTGTCCCTTCGCTTTTTAAATTGATCGCTGAATTGCCAGAACCATTTTCAACGTTGTAATTAAACAAATTTAACTGGTTGTCAATAAGCCAGAATGTATAGTTTGCTTTTTTCACAGACGATTCGATCAATGTAGCAAAATAATAATTGTTGCAGAAAAGTGGTGCGCCCGTGAGACTCGGCTCATAAGGTTGAGCATGGATGTCTAGACATATTATGTTATGGGTGAAATAGGTGGCGTAGGATTTCGACGTTTCGTTAACGTTAATCCACCTGAAGTAGAAGTCGCCGGAATACTCATCTTGTTCAAGGTAAATCAAATAACACCGTTCGATGTTTAATTGAATTTCTTCCCAGGATTTGCGAAATATCGTTTTTTTAAGACTCACGACTTTTACAGGCTGCGGGTCATCTCTGAGGAATGGATAGTCCGCTTCTATTGTATCCACGTAGTTAAATTTAAGCATATGGAATGCGACAGACTTCACGTTCCTTTCCTGGCTATAAGGGTTGCTGTATACATCTAACACCAGTTTCCAATTCGACCACGTCTGCGGTGTTTTGCAGTAAGTGAGGACGAACTTGGGTGTTATTAGCGTTCCGGTGCACTCGGGTCTCTTGTGATTGTTGTAAACAACGACCATAAACTCTGAACACTTGGGATTGTCGTTCAATTTTGTCAATGATGAAATCTGCACTTGTGTCAAAACTTCAATTGCTATAATAAACAAAATCATTTTTAATATTTACAATAATTTCTTGCTAGCAGTACACAAAATCATTTATAAAAGTCAGATGTGAATATAATAGATAAAAGTAAACAATTGTTTATTACCGCATGTGGAAAAACACTATCTTGTCAAACGGCTGATTCGTGAACTTACAGACCAAAATATCTGTAAATTTAAAAATAATAAAAAATAATAATATATAAATAAATAAACATTTACTTTTTATTAATGTACAGAACTTATTACAGCGGGTGAAGGTATTATTCAAATGCCGTTTAATTATCATAAATAATTTATTAAAACTACACATGGATGTGTGTGTACGCGTGTGCGTGTGTGCGCGTGCGTGTATGTGTGTGTCTGTGTGGGTGCAGATAGAGAAATATATTGATTTATAGAAATGTAAATATTTTGCTACCAACTACTGTTTACTTTTATAAACTACTGCTACCAATTTAGTTAGAATCAATTTAAAAAATGTCAATTCCAATATTTATGTATTTGTTTTGATTGGTAAACATCATAACATATATAAAGTAGGGAAATTTACAAAAGTTAGTAGGTTAAGGTAAGTATTGAGGTAAGTAAGTTAAGTATTATTTATGAGATTTCTTTGGAGGTCCGCACGGTGAAGAAGTAACAGTTTGGTTGTTTTTTTATAATACTATTCAGACGGTAGATTTCAAGGGTATAAGCAGGGTGAGTCGTAACCCTAAAGATGGCGAAACATCAAAACAGCGAGGATAGGAAAACCTATGATCGGTAACGACTCTTGCACATTATGTCTAAAACTTCTGGAACTGGCTCTAGAAACCAGATTGAGAAATAAATAATTACAGTTGACCGGTACAACATTAATGAAATACGCGTGTGTGTGTGTGTGTGTGTGTGTGTGTGTGTGTGTGTGTGTGTGTGTGTGTGTGTGTGTGTGTGTGTGTGTGTGTGTGTGTGTGTGTGNGTGTGTGGTGTTTAGTGACCGTTGATTATTTGGATATCGTGAGATGCGGTCTGGTGTGACGTAGGTTTTAGAAAAACATTTTCTTTATCGTGCCAACGTTTCGACCTTTATTGATATCATCTTCAGGGCTCAAAGTGTTTGTTTTCCGTGTAGATGTATCAATCTTCTGTGTCGTTGAACGATCGTGTCACGATAGCTCAAGTGGGTTCGAATCCCGCTCGTGACATTTTTTATTTCAACCAAAACCTTACATGAAAATATTAAGACACTTTGAGCCCTGAAGATGATCGCAATAAAGGTCGAAAACGTTGGCACGATAGAGAAAATGTTTTTCTAAAGCCTACGTCATACCAGACCGCATCTCAGGATCTCTAAATAATCATTAATGGAATACTTTGAAAATGGAAAACATATAAGTTCCAGTGGTGCCAGAATGCTTCATTCTTCAAGCTGAAAAAGCTTGGGCAAAATCCAATTAGTCATGTTATTGAAACGAAAACCTCAAAAATCGGGTTAGTTTTTTAAACTTTTTTAAATTATATTTATTTGATATTTACAACTACAAGTATTGTATTAAGGTCGAAAATTAAAAAATCGAAAAAAATTGCTCCAGATAAGATTGAAAATTGGAAAACTCTAGTGCTAAAAACAATTATTTCCAAGTGATTGCAAGTTAGAAGAATATCCACAGTTAATTTTACGTGCTTTCAACTTTGAGAAAATGACTTTACAATGTATTCTAAGTGTGCAAGAGATATGAAAGATTGCCCTAGGGTTGCCTAAGTTCGTGGTGATAAGGTGGGGACTTATAAGCATTAACCCTGCCGTTTCTTATCAACCGCTTGTGTGATAAAAAGTCATCAAGAACAAATGACTTTTAGGAGGAAAAAACACTTTGAAAACCAGTCAGAAAAACGGAAAAACGTTGCGCCATCCTCTGTACACATCTGTCATCGAGTTCGAGTATTGCGCACAGTTTTGAAGAACGTTAGTCGGCTTTAATCATCCGACGATTAGTGGGACGAGTACCATTATTTTAGTTGGTAATTGCTTTTAATTCGCTTCACTAATGGGAGGGGAATAAGAAATAATGGGCCTTGTCAGGAATTTACTGGCAATCAAATTAATTTAATGGAATGAAAGTGGCATTGGAAAGCGTATACGTGTAAATATCGATCGTGTTGAAATCAGAATTTTACAGTCATAAAAAATTTTATTAAAGAAATAAGAAATTAAAGAAATACTGGTTTCGCAATGAATCGTTTGTAGGCCGTTTCACTTTTCACCTTGCCTAATTTGGAATTTTATTAGTTCGTTTGATTTGATCGTAAAAATATAGAGTGAGATGTAAACAGGGGAGTTCTACACATTTTTGCACTTGAGGCGAGTCCCTGTTTCACGTGTACTCTGACCATATACCGAACAATTTAAAAAAGATTTTTTAATAGGCAATAATTTTGATAAAATATTTCTAAACATTATTATATATTATCTTTTCATGTAAGGTTTTGGTCGAAATGAAAAAGTTAGTGCCACGAGCGGGATTCGAACCCATGACCTTTGGCTAAATACGCCGTTGCTCTACCACTTGAGCTATCGTGACAGGCGATAGTGTCACGATAGCTCAAGTGGTCGTGGGTTCGATTCCCGCTCGTGGCACTAACTTTTTAATTTCAACCAAAACCTTACATACAAAGATTAATTAATTGAAAGAAGTAATTTGGTCATTAGACCACTAAATATAATGGATTAGTATCTATTTTATAAACAAAATAAATGATTGACCGACAGTTTTCGCACAAAGCAGGAAAAGCTACCGTACATTGCTCAAGGACCAAATAATTGAAGACGACCTAGAATCGCAGTAATTGAAATGGAACAAACAGAAAAAGCGATATAAAAAAATAGAAATAGTAAAATTTCTACACAATGCTGGCCCACAGAAAAAGAGAGTACAAGAGAGCAGAGAAAAAGCGACCCAGCCGGCAGCCCCAACAGTAGGTACTTAAAAAATTAGAATGCTATGCAACAAAACAGAAATTTTCTGACGCTGTAAGCAAAAGGATAGGTATGGAGAAATACTTTGAGAAATGGGAAAGAACAACCTATGGGATAAGATTATTTGGAGATGGTGAGATGCGGTTTGGTGTGACGTAGGTTTTAGAAAAACATTTTCTTTATCGTGCCAACGTTTCGAGCTTTATCGAGATATCTTCATAGCTCAAGAGTTTGGGTTTGATGTGACACATCTACACAGAAGAAAAACACTTTGAGCCCTGAAGATGATCTCAATAAAGATCGAAACGTTGGCATGATAAAAATTTTTTTTAAAACCTAGGTCACACCAGACCGCATCTCACCATCTCCAAATAATCATTAACTAACGGTCACTAAACACCACACATTTCTCTAGGATATGCTTACAACGCCACTATGGAAAAAGCAAAATTACAAAAATCCCACTATATCGATCGAAATAAATGGAAGAACTGATAAAAGGTAGTGTTAAAAAGAAAGACTTGAAAGAAGTTGAAAACTCGAGAATCTTCACACAAAAACAGCAATCCATGGGACTGAAAGACTTAAATATAACAAGTGCCTCTGTAAAATAGAACAAAGCGCCCAGTTTTGACAAGATCAAAGATGAAATAATTGCAAAAACGAATAGCCTCAACACAGAAAAGATACTTCAAAGACAGAAAGGCAGAAACATTGACAACGCACACTTCTTCGGCCAAAGGGTTACGAGACGATACCCTTCATGGTTTTTTTTCTGTTAGTCCAATGTTTTGGAATATGGTATTTAGCCTGTTACGGGCAATCCTGGAAGAGAGGGTAGAATTGAACCCAATACTAAAAAAGATCTGCAGGTAGGATGGAAAGTAGTCTTGGAAAAAATATGGAATTGAGCAAGCCGTTTAAACCTGATCAGGAATCACCAAGAAAAAAATCATACGGTTACGTTGAAAGGTATAACACACATAACGCGCCCATGGTTAAAACAGGACCATACATAAAGCCTACCATACAAAGTCATCAAAATAAAAGAGACAACGAGTTAAATTGCAAGATGATGATTGATGATTAAGGATTAAGCGCAAAAGCCCCTGTGATACCTTACAAATATGCTCTTACAATTAGGCCAGGAGGCGCAGCCTGGGCACCAAACCTGACATATAAAAGCGAAATAATGCTGGAAAAAAGTATGAAGATAGCTCCACTAAAATGCACCAAAGTAAATCGGACAACGTCGACTCAAACCCAACAAGTTATCGTCTCTACCCGACCAATGGACATAGTCCTTCAACGAAAAGTTACCACAAGACAAATCAAAGAGGAATTTACCTAACCTACAAGGCGTAGAAGAAACGGATCTAGAGTGGTTGACGAACGCACCAAAAAACAGTGTTCATGAAAAAATAGATAAGGTTTGGCAAAGCAGATGGTATACCAGCGATAAAGATTGACGTATGAATACTCCTTTTACAACAAGGAGAGAGGAAATGTAATATGGGTATTAGTTTTTCAAGAATTTAGTTATGAGTGTTTAGTTTGTACGTTTGTGTAGTGTAGCGTTTTATTTTTACCATAATTACTGCAAATTATGATAAATGTAGAATGCCGATGAGAATCGAACATTTAATTAAATTAATTCCTGTCATATAGAAGGGCTTAACTTTCAACTACCCATTGGGTGTCGGAGACAATGGTTCACACAGCTTTACAATACATTTTTCAAATCAATACCAATTAAAAAGACAAGGGTTCAGCCGGGGTTCGGACCAAGAACGGCAAAAGAGGAAAACAGGAATCGGACATCGAAAAAACTCGGCCACCTCTTCCCCTAATTTGACTATAAACACGGTTGAATAAGTGAAAAGTGGTTAGAATGTTAGAAAGGTAATAATCTGTGAAGAATGAAAATTCATTCTCACTTTCGCTAATTCTCTCTCTCACACACTCTCTCTCTCTCTCTTCCTTTATCTCTATCCAATTCTATCTAACTTTCTCCTTCTCCTCCCTTCCTCATTTTCTTTTTCTCTCTATTTCTATCAA